TTTAAACATATACTGAGTTGACCCGGCTTAGTCTCTGGGCTTTAGAGGAAAGTCATGCAACAATGTATGCATTGTGCTTTAGGCATAGTCTGACAAATCCAGCCCACAATCTGTTTCACTCAGTAAAAGTTGCGGGACTGCAGGATGGCTTGGAAAGGCAGCGGAAAATGATAGTTGTTTTGTAGGGGTGATAAGAAATTATTTAATACCAGGCAAAATGAACAACTTGATTAATATAAGGACATTTATTATTTCAGCTTGTTGATCAGCAATTTGCTAATGCCTCTCTGCGATTTGGGACTGTGATGAATAATTGTCCTATTACAATTTATTGACTGAATTTATGAATTTATTAGCAACTTATGGAAAGTGAATTCCAGTGTTTATCCATGCTGAAACTAACTGTCATTTGCACCCTGAATTATGTATTCTCTTAGATACAGCCTAACTGGAAACAGGTGTCATTAAAAACAATATAAAAATGAATACAAAAATATTTATATAGAAAAATAGCATGGTCAGTGTTTTTTTCCATTAAAAAGCAGTAACCACTGCTTTAAAAGCATTACTTTAGACGTGGAGGTGGTTATATGACAAAGTGTGAGTAAAGTTCAGAGAAATTCACTCCCTCAAAGGCTGACAGGACCTTGACCACAGGACCCTGAAGATGAGCGATGACCTATCGTGCAACAGATGTATTGTACTCCTTACAAAGAGCATGTTGGGAGGTTTGCACATCCTCTTTGGTGTATTGTTTTGTACGGTTGCTCAACATCCTAAAGGCTGTAAAACATTGTTCAAATTGGCAGCAAAGACTTTATAACTGGAAAGCCAGCATGCTGGCAACCCCTCTGATTTCACTGTAAACAACAACATTTCCTATTTATTGTAATAGTTTCCCTCAATTGTACTTTTCCGATTCCCGTTGATGAAAGATAGAAACTCTCTGGAGGAAAGTTAATGTTGACCTGTTGTTTTTTAAAATTGATTTTATTGTGCATTTGTGCAATAAACAAAATAAATACAAATGCATGCAATCGAACAAATAATAAAATCGGTTCTTTTTACTTTTGACATATCTGGCCAAGATAACCCCCCTCCTCCCAAAAAATAAAGAAAATTAAACAATTCATCTGAATTATTACTTCACCATTGTATTGGATTTGTTTATAGATAAATTTATGAAAGTAGGATTTGTTTCAGTAATGTAATAACAAATGACTCTTTCACAGATCACAGCACACACAGTATCTTAAAGATTGAATGTGTAAATACTGTAGACACACTGGTCCACATCCCAGTGTTTGCGCCAAGACGTTTTGTTTTTTTTTCTAAATGGGGCTGAGCTTTCTAAAGTCAGGCCATCTCCATCCAACCATTTAGAGAGCTCTTTGCAGACAATGTCCACTCACGCCAGTGTAATTGGTCATTGTCAAACAACTTGATAAGTTCGAGTGCATGGGAAAGAAATTCTTCTGGAGAATAAAGGTGCAGCATGTAAAACTTAGAGTGCATATGGTTTCAGGAATTTCCTCACTGCCGGCAAAAGATTAAACAAGAAAATATGTTCCCAGTTAAGAAAGAAAGAAAGAAAGAAAGAATGAAATCAGTATTCAGTAACTTTGCAGCCCCTAAAAGCAGCACTAGAAACTAAATAAGATATAAAACTTTCAAAGAAGTAAAAGGCGGCCTGAAAAGGCAGAGATGACTGAATTTTCCTGCCCTTCAGACAGACAGGTAGTGCTTCAAGTCTGAGATAGGAACATGGAAAATATTCTGATGCCAACTATAGTTAGCTTGGTTGCACTTACAGACAAAAGTAAAAAAAACACACTTTAGGTAAATGCCAACAGCAGGTCAAAGCTGTCAGTGTCACAGTGATGCCACACACAAACTGGAAAGTTCAAAGGTCAACAACTATGCTAAAAATTAGTAAGGGTGACAATTTTGTTGTATGCAACACAAGGGCGTAGATTTGGCATGGACGGAAGAGACATGTCCCCACCAATAATTTAATCTCTTCGAGTAAAGAAGAAGAAAACCGATAGAAATTTTAAAAAAAAAAAGGCGATCTGTCAACGTCTCATTCACCCAGCGGTGCAGAAAGAGTTAAATTACGTTCTCTACTGGAGTCCTATATCATGTGACAAATATGGCCAATGTGATTGGCTGTGCCTTTCAGGGAGCTCTGTTTAGTTTTAGCAGCGGCAATCCTGTGAGCAGGAGAGGAGGATGGCAGCAAAAAGAACCTGGATATAAGAAAGTATTTTTCAAAGAAGCCTGTAAGTCACTTAAAGTCAAGTTCACTCATAAAACCTGTTCATCATAATAACGTTGCAGGCGATCAGGCGATGCAAGGCAATACATGCCAACCCTCCCGTTTTTCAGTGCCCCTCTTATTACTCTTTCTGGGTTGCAAAATAAACTTTTAAAAATTTTTCAGGCGAGAATGTAGCTGTGCAAACTTCAAATATCTGAACCGGGGAGAACAGCAAACTCCCGGCACATCGTTTTAGGCTTTGGCCCACATCAGTCTAAAATTGTATGTAACCATGAATAACGTGTTACCATGTCCACCAGGAGAGACTGGACAGTATAGATGTAAAACAAATATGCCAGCAGTTTATCTCAGTTAATGAGAGGAGAAGGCATGTGTTTGGCTCCTTCACATAGTGGACATTGAGTTGTTGTGTGGGACACCAGTAGTCCATGTCTGTTGCTGTAACAGTAGTTCATGTTTAGAGTAAAACACCCCAGCTCACTGACTTGATAGGGGCAATAGTGTGCCTAAAATGTTGCATAATTTTGCTAAGAGATCTTTTACTTTGTGGTAATCTTAGATGAGTAGTTTTATGGACAAAATCCACCAGGTCATTCAATGTTCCCTTAGTGCTAATGTATCAGAGATGTTGGTGTAATATAACTGAAGTAATGTTGTTAAGTCCTTAAAGTCATATTCTTTTATTGTCATGACTGTATTTTAAGCTATTTTTATTTTTGTATGATATCTGATTTATATGAAATATGGTTGAAGTAAACTAAAGTATAAAATACTTAGTCATTTGTTTAATAGTAACTTAACATTATATAATTCACATATAAAACTATGAATTGTAATTTTAAATGGTTTAAAAGCACGTAGAATAGCATATGTAGGCAAGTATATTTCTCCTTTTTTTTATCAAGAAGCAAAGACGAAAAGGAAAAAAAAAAAAGAAAGGTTCGGTGGTTGAATCGTCCGTCCCCACCAATGCCAAAACCAAATCTACGCCCTTGATGCAACAGAAAACTCAGGTCATAAGCACGAAGGAAGAGGACAATCTGACCTGACACCTGACCTTTGCAGTCCACTGAATGCCACTCAATCTGACTGACGTATGCAGAAAAAGCTTTTAAGACACCTTCTGGGTGGAGCAGAGTCGCAAAAGTGAAACTTTACCTACGGCTATAACTCTAGGCATAAGATGTTTATGACCAACCACTTACTGATCAGTGTTGCTGCTGATGCATCGTGTCTTCACCTCAGGGCAGTCTTGCGACACCTCCACAAACCTACAGCCATGAGGAAGAGCCTCAGGGCGGCAAACAACCCATTCACAGTCTGTATCAGCTCCAACACTGGTCTTACTGAACGCTATACTTGCTGACATTTAAATTCCAGCACAGTTTTTAAATGCTAAGAATTTGTTCCAGTCTAGTGGTTGCCTTTTCCATCAGCTGATGGTACATAGCTCCAGCCAAAAGGTCTATGGAGAAGTACTTGCTTTCAGCACCAAATTTAATTTAGTATGAGCACACCAGGTGCTGCTCCATCAGCAAAGGGGCCATGTATGCTCCTGTGTACATTTTAACATAGGCAGGTTTCTGGTGTCACTGTCACATGGCTGCATTCAAGCGGACTGTGTTGCTGGCAAAGAAAACTGAAACTGCGCATTAGACAGTTCACTGACTGCATTTGAACAGCTTACTAACTCAGTTTGTTTCTATAAATAGGGATCATCAGAGCTCAAAGAGGGGAAACAGAAGTCTCTCTGTCCCAGCAGTCTTTTCCCTGATGTTTAAACAGCAGGAGAGTCCGGGGACCTAAACTGGAGCTAATTAGCTAATTCATGAGGCCTGAAGGGAGCAACATGTGATTTAATGCAGTCGGCAGCAACAGCCATGTTTCTAAACAACAGGTTTTGTCATTAATTTCTATACAATCTGAACAATTTCTCACATTAGCAGAAAAATATGGAAAGTATGCTTTAAGAGTGAAGTACAAATGTATCCTGGGAAACACAGAAGGATTTTAGGCAACTTATCTCTACTGGAGATGTGTGTTGTATCTAAAGATATGTTTGACTTTGTAGTTGCAGTAGCACATATGAAAACAACATCTACTGATCCACACTGAGGGGACATAGGTTTGTTTTAAATCAACACCTTTGATTAGGCATGGCTTGTTACACACCCACATTATGTTGATATGTAGATTAGTTACACTGGCATTCTTACTGGGACAAGTGACATTTCTTTTTCTGAATAAGGGCAGCGACTTTTGGCTTATAAGATGTTAGTGCAAACTGAAGACAATGGTGAAGAGGACTGTCAATCAGTGAACAATGACAGCTGCTTTTTTTTTATCGAGTTTGTACGTGAAAAGCTTGATTCACATGTGTATGTCGACCCAAACATAACGAGCATGACGACTACTACTTTCTTAATGTTAGGAAACTGGTGGGTGTTGACATCAGTCCAAAACTCGTCAGTGGAAGGGCTCACCGCAAAGCCCCCCACTGTTACAACACCACGAGTCCATGTAACCGACCAGAAAGCTTCTCTTTCAACTTCGCTATGAAATCAGTCATCACATCCACGACTTGGGCCGGTGATGAGATGCATTTGCGGAGTGTCGGAAAATGCACCCTCTGCTCAACTCAGTCGAAAAGAAGGTTAAGCTTGACTTTAGATGTACACAGTGTTAATGACAGTTTTGGCTCTGTAGTAAAACATTTAGGTTATTCTGTTATTATTTCTGTCGTACAGAAAGCAGACATTGGCCATAAAGCTGTTGTCCAGAATGTGATTCAAGTGTTTCAGATTTTTATCTTTTTTTTGCCTGCTACTGGGGAACAAAGTTGTGATCTCCTCGCTTTGAACACCGCAACACGCTCACTGCAAATTAAGGTTGGGTATTTGGATTTGGCGGTAAAATAAACAAATACTCGTTGGTACTTGTTTGCTGTACACCTTAAATGTGACACAGCGGAAACATAATGAAAGCAAAAGTTATTTTAACCTGGGTTCCTTTCATATGAAAATTAGCAGTTTTAGCAAATTAACTAGAGTTTTTGCGGCTTCCGCTGTTACCATAGTTACTGAGTAACAAACCGCCGTCGGACTTCACGAGTCAGCAAACGTAACGCTTGTTTTTCGTGGGGTTTTCCAAAACTCATTAACAGATAATATTTACGAAGATGGAGTCTAAAACCAAGCAACCAGTTTTTCCTTGGTAAGTCACTTAATTTTTTTTTTTACTGTACTTTTTCTTTTATTTACATAGAAAATATTTGCATTCGCCCTTTTTAACCACTGCTAAGAGAAGTGTCATTGCACTGTCTAAAAAGATGTACTTGTAATGTAATAGTGTTAAATAATGTTACTTGTAAATAGAAATCGCACTAATACATAACATCCCCTTTCAGACTGCTTTATTTCTGGCAAACAGCAATAAATGCATTTACTCATCTACAAGTAAAATTATTTCAGCTTTATGCTAATGTTGTATTGCAGTGCAGCAGGCCTGCATGCTCCAGTTAATTTATATGCTGAGTAACCTTATGCGTATAAAACACCGTATAAGTAACATAAGGGCTTATCTAATGAATTTAACTCCATCTCACATAGGTTCAACAATAAAATATAATATTATAAAATGGCTACAATAGGACAGTTACATAAAATACTAATTTCCTACTCATATTTTGCTTCTACGCTTGAGGGACAATTTGCTTCAAAGAGCATTTTTCCTAGTTGTATTATTGGCAGTATTTTATGTGTGCATTTCTAATACCTAATTCATTTTTACTTTTCAGACCATTGCACTGGTTTAACCTCCTAATTTCTCTTTGCTATTTGGGTTGATTGGGACCTGATGAATGTAAAAACAAAGAATTACCAGATTCTTTTTTAACCTGATTTTTGTATCTGAGAAAAATTTGATCCACATATGAGGACATTCGTTTTAAATTTTGATAGAACAGTAGCAGTATACGGTCCTTGTAAGTGGATATCAGGTCCTTGTAGAGCAAAATTTAGTATTTTGGTCTAGACAACCCAAAATATGATGTCCACATATTGTTCACCATCACTGATGCTGCCTCTTAGACCTACTTCCTGTGTTTGCCCACCTGACCTGAACAAGTATGAGGGCAGGGATGAGGAGACTTGAGAAATACATAGAATTCAGATGAGGAAGAGGAAAAGGGAGAGGCAGGACTAGGGAAGACAAACATGGTACTCTACATCACCGCACACATGGAAAGAGTGCTATTTAAAATTGTCACTGAGCTGCTTTATTTATATCTTTATTTATATTCTAAAGGATGAGAGATGTGCATGTAAGTGGGGGGGGGGGGTTGATGTATGCCATTATGCTGCTGAGAGAGAGGCGACACAGCTGGACGCTTTACCCTGGTTAAGAATTTCAATATCTCTGAGATTGAGAACACAGTACAGAATAAATAATAAGACAACACCAGTCTGCAGGTAATCTAAGGGAACTAGAGAAACACAAATAAGAAAATATAATGCCGCTGTTCTTAAGCGGGTAAAAGGATTAAATGCTGGCATGCCACAAGAATTAATAAATAAACAATAACATTTTTAACCAGGGAAAATTGATTTTATGGCAATATTGTGAGTTATTAGATTATATAATTAATTATCTGTACTGAATGCCACATGTGGACACATCAAGTTACTTCCTAACATAAATGCTAAATTTCAATTTGTTGTTATTAAAAACACCACTATGCTGGCTCAGTTTTTCCGTAATCCATTATGTCTCTTTCTGCTTAGAAACCACTTGCTTGAACTTTAAAAATGTGCGTAAATGGGTGAACGAGACATGTTGTAGAAAGTGCTTAAGCAGAGTAGAAAAGTGCTACATAAGAGACAGTCAATTAAGCAAAAGACTAATTTGAAATTACCAGATTAAAGTGAATAATTTCATAAAACAAAGTACACTTAAGCAGGAAGCCATTCATTTTCTAAGGGTTAAATCCTGAGTTTTACAACTTAGCATCCATAAAGCAACTTCTGGCATTTATCATTTTATATGAGCTTTAATTTCAGTGGTCATGTGGATGTAAAACTGTATGTAGTGTCTCACAAGTCAAGTTAGATAGAGAGTGCTTGAAAAGTTTGCTGGCTATGTCCCAAAATAAGATTTTTAATCTCCAACAAGATATACTAACACCATCTTTGTTGATAGATTTTCGCATATATTGTCTCTGTAGACATCATGCAAATGTTATGGCACATTAACTCGGACACTCCTCACCTGAATTTTTCATAAAGATCTGAACAACCAAGGAGACTCTTAGTTAACAAAGGTGATGAATACAGTTGTCATACAACTAATAATACCCTTGGAAAGCTTATAAAGGTCACACTACCAGAAGCAAACATTGCTTTCTTTGCAGACTGTAGCATAATATATCTGAAACTGGTAAAAGTCATACACCAGACTACTCCAATTTCCCTCAGTAAGAATCTGAAACTTGAACTTGCTTTAAACTGCGCTATGCTACAAAATATGATATTGCTACTGCCAAAAGTTTGGAAAGACAGATAAGGGTGTTCATGTAGGAGAATGTTTTTGCAGTATCAAAAAGTCTAAACACAAGAACATTTTGTTGAATTCCATTCCAGCAAATAATAATAATAATTAAATAAATAAATAAACTATCAAGCCTTTTTAAAAAATAAACCATTTTATCATTTGAGCAGATAAAGAAGGACATGGGAGTTAGTACAGACTACATAAGTGTCTAGCTGGCAGAGGTAAATATAAAGACAACTCAGAGAACAGATTGCAAGTATGTGAAGCAGAAGCATGTTACCTTTTCAAATACACAAAAAGTGTCTGCTTACATGATGAGACACTTTAATTTAAAAAAAAAAAAGTTTCATTCCTGAAGGACCAGGCTCCATGACATATTAAAGTCTTCACATTACCAAACTTTAGAAAAGCTCCTAAAAGTAGAATGGGAGGCAGAGCCTTCACTTGCCACGCTCCTTTCCTGTGGAACGAGCTATCTGTCTATGATCAGGAGACAGACGTTACCTACTTTTAGTTTGTTTTTTAAAGCTTATAGGTAGGGCTAGATTAAGTGAGTCTGAACCATGCCTTAGTTAGGCTTCTATACAGTCAGGCTGCTGGGAGATTTCCTACGATGCACTGCATGTCTTTTATTCTCCACTCCCACTACAGCATTCTCTCATAAACTATGAGAGTGTTTTGTACATTGTGTCTTTCCATTCACTTCCTCCTTCTGCTTGATGTTTCTTCCTGTTAAAAAGAACATCTTTCTCTCCACCATCACTTCCTGATTTCCTATTTTTTGTATGTTTGTCACACAAAAATGTTTCAAATTATCAAAAATATTTAAATATTAGACAAAGACAACACAAGTAATTAAAATATTCAATTTCTGAATGACGGTATTAAGGGAGAAAACAATATCTAAACCTACATGCCCCCCAAATCTAGTAACTGGTTGGGCCAACTTAGCAGCAACAACTGTGAAAGTCTTTTTCAGCACCGAGAAAAAATTTTGGCCCACTTATCTCTGCAGAATTGTTGTAATTCAGCCATGATGGAGGATTTTCAAGCATGAACCGCCTTTTTAAGGTCATGCCACAGTATCTCAGTTGCATTCAGGTCACGACTTTGACTTTAATTTCTCTTTGCTATTTGGGCTGATTGGGACCTGATGAATATAAAAACAAGGAGTTACGCAATTTTTTTTTTTTACCTGATTTTTGTTTCTGAGAAAAATAAGATCCACATATGAGGACATTTGCTTTAAATTTCGATAGGACAGTGGCAGTATAATGTCCTTGTAAGTGGATATCAGGCCCTTGTAGAGCAAAATTTAGTATTTTGTTCTAGACCACCCAAAATGTGATGTCCACCTATGTGGACACCAGGTCCTAGGAGGTTAATGATATACACAGCGATTTAGAAACTGCATTTTGTGTTTACTTGTGCTATCTTTGTCCAATATTTAAATTCTATGATTTGAAACATTTAATTGTGACAAACATACAAAAAAATAGGAAAGGGGCAAACACTTCTGTCACAACTGCTGTTGTGATATATATAAATTGCACATTTTCAACCTTCTTCTTAACAGAATATGAAAAACAGCTTCTAGAAAAATATCTGTGTTGTTCAGCAGGAAATGCACAATGAGTGTCTGCTTTGATATATCTGCTTTTGTTTCTCTGAACAACACAAATTCGCTTTTACTGGGTTGTATTCATGTTGTTTCACAAAGTTTTTACGTTTCTCTAAATCCCCAGGTACAGGGAAAGGTTGCAAGCAAAGTATCTTAAAGCCCCGGATAACAAGCTGTCATCTATCAGGTGTTGGCGTTTCACAAACACCAGTCTCTGCTCATCAGTGACACCTGAGGTCTACACAGGAGTCTCACCTCTTATTTTCCCGGGGACTCAAGAGCACAACTCCAGTCAAACGCCTAGAAAGAGCATCTCTAAAGAGCATGCCTGCTTCTCAAAGCAGATGATCCAGAAGCAGATTCGCAGTACGTATGTCGCTTCTGTAGAGGAAAAACTCAAGCAGCACCCTCTGGCTATGTACCCTCACTATAAGGATCACCTGACTCCTGAAGTAAGCTCCTCTATGCCAGAATGACATAGCTTCAGGTTAGGCAGATAAATGATGCCTGAATGAAGGCAAATACCTTCACACTGTGTTAAAACATATTTACATGGTCTTATTGTTCTCTAGTTATTTAATCGGGTGGTGGCTGTTTTGGACCCAGATTTGAATGTGAGCAATGCCTCTGCACTTCCTGCACCTTCAGAAGACCTCGCAGAGGAGGTCAAAACAGGAAACAGCCAAACTTAAAATGTAGGTACACACGCAGCTTAGAAATACCTGGCTATTTTAGTAATGCCCAACATGACTTCTCTGCTTAAATGCAGAGAAGTCACGATGTCCAAAATCCAACTCCAAGAAACCCTTCTATATAATAAAAAAACACATATAAAGGGTATCAAGAGAGACCAGTTGGTCTCAGTAAAACAACTGAACACAATTAAGGACATCAAAGTATAGTTTTCAGGAGATAGTCTGCCTTCCTGGTAACAGGTTTGTTATCTCAAACTTTTCAGTTTGAGATAACAAACTAACAAGAGAGCACATTACTGTTTCGCAGAAGTTACAAAATAACTAATATATTCTTATAATGACATGATACTTATGTTTGACTTTTGCAGGATGAATGCTTCTGATGGTGCTCCTCCTTCAAGTCTGTTTGCCACCAATTGTGCCCATTCAAGCACACAGCAACTTCTCAGGTTTTTGCACAAAATCCCAACCAGGAAGGCTATTCATATTTCCGAAGCAAGAACAAAATTCAGTACAGATCACAAATATAAGTGAAATATAAATTTTGATATCTTTTACTTGGGGAGGAAAAAAACAGTTACTTGCAAAAATAAACAAATTCAAGAGTCTGGCAACAGGTCCAAGTAGCTGAACTAAAATGTAAACAAGAAATAGAATGGGGACTTGGATCTGGCACAAATCTCAAGAAAACCCATCGTCCTTTCCCGTCTAACGTAACAAACAGCTGGTTTCATGGCATGTAACACAAACGATCAAGAGTGAAGAGGATACAAAATATTTGGATTTAAAGACCTCTGCGTGGTAGGTCCACATCGTTTGTATATGGAAAAAGCTCAAGAGGATACAAAGGACAAGGGTGTTTAAGTATGACTTTATTTCTAAAGAATCTCCTTTTTTTGAAGAGTAAGATAAAGATCAATAACAAGAGGTGTGTATATTTGTTATCATATAAAGGAAATATGGATAATTAAGTAGTGCTTATAAACAAAGGATGGCAGAAGATTTCCAGAGTCCCTAAAAGCAGCCGGAACTGTACTAGATGTACTGTATGGGCAGCATGTGTCCCAACTACTTGAATCACAGCTTTTATTATAAATTTATTATAAATCTATGCTATGAATAAAATAATTATTAACAGACTTCACATTTTTCAAGCACTTTATTTAAACATGATAATACAGCTGATTGTTTTTTCAAATCAATCAAATCACTTTTATTGTCACATCACATGTGGAGGTACACTGCTACAGTACATGTGAGTGAAATTCTTGTTTTTTCAAAACCTTCTGCTGTCAGAGTTCATTCTTGTGACCTTTGAAAAATGAGGCATCTGTAAGACAAAAAAGAAAAAAACATAAAGGTATGATATTTGACAGATTATGATCAATCAGAAACACAATGGAATGCTAAGCATGAGATGCTGTGAGATGCTAAAGGACAAGTGTAATAGCCTTTAACGCAGAACTGGATTTCAGCTGCTGTCACACCTAAAAGTCTTTTCATCTGTTACTGACTTACCTTTAACTACATGACTCTTCTTGTTGATGTTATTCAGCCTTTCCTACACATTCAAAGACTCTGAAATGGTTGCCTTGATCTCTCCAGTAAAAGAATAAACTATAAATGACTCAATCTGTACAAACAGTTGACTCATGTCATGATATCGATGTAGAGTGAACAATGCTTGTAACATGTTTTTTAAAACAATGTAACTGTAACTATCATCAACAGCAGGAAACAGTTTTCAAAGTAAAAGTCTTCAAATCAGTTTGGTTTGTTCCTGACTACTGTTTGAATGACCTCAGTTTTGCTCAGTTGTGATCATTAAGAACTTTAAGAACTTACTGATAAAAGAAGAGGGGTTCAGAAGCATTTTGGCATGTCTCTGTTAGTTGTTGGGGTCAGAGGTCAGGAGAGAGTGGACTGGTGACCTGCGACCCAGTGAGAGTAGCGGTGGTGAGGAAGTATCCCTCACTGCAGTCTCTGGTATTAATATAAAATTGCCTAAAAAGCAGAGTGTCTGTTACAGATTTAAACCAAATCTTATTTTATTAAACTGCTCTATCTTGCATTATCTAGAGTTATCTATTAAACTATCTATTAAATATTTTCTTGATGATTTTCTTGTTCAGTAACTTTAAAAAACCTGCGTATTTAACCAAACAACAACCAAGACCAATTAATAGTGACAAGAAACTGTTGCAGGTCTAAAATTAAATTAAAATAAAATAAATTAATGCTTAGTAATAAGAAATTAGATATATTAAATAAAAACTGCTTATGAAACTCACTCTGACTGAAGGACTTGATTATTTTCTCATCTGGTTCAGCTGTCTTCAGGAAACATAGCTCGCTGTACACAGTGTGTGTGCAAACAGAGATTCATTACATTGCTTTACAGGCCTGTAGCACACTGCAGGGCCTTTCATGAGAGGTAACAGGTCACATGGCTATATGGTGGGATCATCTCACAGCCTTAGGGTAAGTCACACTCACAAAGTCATGCAAAATATTTAGAAAAACAAAAACAAGGGGCACTTTCCCTACCTGCTGAAGGTATTTCTCCTCAGTTTGTAGCCAGTATCGCAATGATCAGTTCTGCGTCACAGACAAAAGAAATATTACAATATGGGTAAAGTGAGATATAACAAGAGCGTATGAGAGTACAGCAGAAATTTGGGTACATACAAGCATTTGAATGATAAAAGGCAATTTTTTACATTTTATATTACAACATAGACTTTGAAACTGTGTGGTCAGTGAAAGCACTCACCACGTAGGGCTCATCTATGATTTCTTGCTCACTTAGAAATATCACATGATTTCCATATGTGACCTAAGTCGGCCTAAGAATAAAGCTAATGCTTGGGGTGTGTGGGAACTGAGCCAGACGTACAGTGCGGTTCTGTGTACTCTCTCTGGTGCAGACCTCCTCCTGTGGAAGCTGCTGCCAGTGGTGCTGTTATCGGTGTGTGGTCCAGGGTTCTCCAAAATCCCTCCTCTCAGGATTTTGTCAAGAGATCTGAGCTCACAAGTGGGGCTCTCCAGCTGCCTCCTTGACTTCAGCAGCCAAAAAGATGTGCATGACAATGTAAATGAAGTGATATTTGGTAAAATATTTATTAAAATGTTCATTTTTAACAGTGAAATCAAAATATATGGGACAGTCTTCTTTTATCTGAATTAAATCAATAAAAACACATAAAACTGTCTCTGCAGTCCAACACAAATAGCATTTCAACCCTGTGTTGAAATTATTTACAGTCTGTTTTCTTTCCCAGCTCCAGGAATGCAATTCAAAGGCTGAGCAGATGTCTCGTGTCTGTACAGCCAAATAAAATGATTCACACAAGCACTTGACAGACTGAAAGCAGGAGGGATAGGCGAGATATAGGGAGTTTCTCACTGTACCTTGATCTTGGCGTTGAAGGCATGCTGGGAGGAAGGTGGAGCAGTGTGTGCAGATGGGATCAGGGAGTCCAGATCAGGTGGACACACTTTCAGAGCTGTGTGCAGATTTTGACCTTGGAGCTCCTACAGAAAACAAATGTGGTCATGTCTCCCACTGAAAGATGTGCAATATTTAAAAATTATAGCCTAGCCTAACACACAGCTGAGAACCTTAGCATTGAGCACTTATTGTGTTTTTTTCTATACACAGACATAGAATACAGCATATTCTTGCTTATAAAAAAGCTCTGTCCTACTAATTATGTAGAACAGCTTTACCTTCAAGTGGAGGGCATGGTGGAGTTTTAAGCGGAAATATTCCTGCTCCCGCAGCTGGATAAAATCCTGACAGTTTGCAAAGCTCTCCGACATCTTTTGAAATACAAAAAGAAACTGCGGTCACACTGGGACACAAACAGAGATACAAGAGGACTGACAAAGTTCCTTTTTATACTTGTCTCTATAAAATTTTGAACTTTTAATTCAAAAGGAACACAATTATTCTTTGGGAAACAGGAAAGTATGATGCTACCAATTGTAGAATCTTTTAATTAATTTTTATTTTAAAAGGATAATGAACATTAACAGAAGCATGTGGGCCCATCATGTAAATGGGGCAGATTATGTACTGCTTCCATAAGAGTCAGCCAGGTGCTACTAATCAAAATGCACTGGATTTTCTAATCATCAGACTTGAACACCTGTATAAAACCAGAATTTTGGCAGCTTGGTCTGGTGCATTCAGCTGTTTAATTAACACAATGCCAAAATCGCCCCATGAATGGATACCCCAGCAACATCAGACTGCGCATTGCTCAGAGAATTAGGAAAAAACCCAAAAGCTACCTCTCCAACTCTACAGGCCAGTTAGCATGTTAAATGTTCAGGTGCATGACTATTGAAGAAAGCTGAACAAGTATGGCTTGCTTGGAAGGGTTTCCAGGAGAAAGCTTCCTCTCTCTCTAAAAAGAACAGGCTACACAGCTTAAGTGAAATCTGAACAAACCACAGGACCTCTAGAACGATGTTCTTCAAAGTCAAAGTGGAAACATTTGGCCATAATGCACAGCCACAAAACCAAACAGAGCATTATCCGCTTAAATACTTTATGCCAAGTCAAAGGGATGAAATGGGCTTGTTTTGCAGCCATGGGACCTGTAGTCATTAAGTCGACCATGAACTCCTCTGTATGTTAAAGTATTCTAAAATCAAATATGTGGTCATATATGTGTCAGCTGACGCCGTAACTGTGTCACGGAACAGGACAATGATCACAAGCACAGCAGCAAATCTACATCAGGATGGCCGAAAAGAAAAGAATCAAGGTGTTACAATGGTCCAGTAAAGTTCAGGCCATAATTAGAAGAGTAAAGAGCATTTTATGATTTTATTAAACAGTGTCAGCAAAAGAAAAAAAAGCAAACAGGGGAAACTGTTAAAAAAGAAAACAGTTACCAGCTGAGGAGAAAGTGTATTTTAAAACATTTATTCTTCACCGCACACTGCTTACACTCAAACCTCTGCATGTTTCAGGCAGTCACCAACATATTCACGCTTCTAAATATTGCAGGTGTCAAAAATTGTGTCATGACTAAAATGAAGTGTAAATGAATGCCACCTTGTGAAGGATTGCCTCCAGCTCACTGATCCTATCTGTTAACTGCTGATCTTTGGAGCGAAGCACCTCCAGCTCGTTAGCAAGTTGTCTCTTCTCCTCCCTGACGAAGGTTAGTTCCTGGAGCTGACGCTCGGTCTCCAAGTTCTGGCAGTCTTTCTCCTGGACAAGAAGAGAACATGGAGTAAATGCCCATCTCACTTCAGATGAATGTGAAGAACTGGAAAAAGTATGAAAAATTAACTGCCAAAAAAGCAACAACAACAACAACAAAAACCAGTTGTATAGTGTTGCATATTTGAAGACTACTGATTAAGACATTTTGACTGCTATGTCATCAAGAGCTAACTTGTCAAAAGTTAACATGGTAACAGCTCACGTGATGCAGCTTCTCCACTTTCTCCTCCAGATGTTGAATTTTGCTCTGCATCGAGTCCACCTGCTCTCTCCTGGCAGTGATCTCCTTCTGCATGTCCAAGGCTACCTGGAGGCCTGAAGTGGAGTCAAACCATGGGACAGAAAGATGGCAACATAAATAATCACAGAGCTCTTCTTTAGGGTGGATTACAGGGTAGGGAATTGCAGATTACATCTCTCAGACTGAAATGAAGCACAGGAGGTCAGAAAGTGAATTGAATAAATTTCACTAATATAAAATTTTTTGTTCTCTGAAATGCAAAATGTCTCTGTGATACTAAAGGTCGCTAACGTGAAAGTACTTCACTGTAATCTGTGCACCTGACCAAATATATATGAAAATCACAAGCAGTTCCTCAGAGTTTTATTTGTTCATGAAGACTTTTAATTAAGTTGCATTTTAAATTATAAACATTGATCAAACCATGTCTGTCAGCCCCTTTGAGGGTCCCCAAGGTGCTCTGGATCTGATCGAGCTCATCGTGGGCGTTCCTTATCTGACTCTGAAGATTCAGCACCGCACCCTCATGCTCCTCGTTCTTACAGCTGTGCAGCCGTTGCAGCTGCTTGTGCTCCTCTGAAATCGTGCCCGGACAAACACGTGTTACGTCCAGAGAGAGAAATAGACGATAACACATAAGCAAACACACACCACAACAGAAGGGCTTGGTTAACAGTGTAAACATACCAAACATAATTCTTTGCTTTCTTAACACAGCAGGACAAGAAGATAATTTGATTAGACTAAAAGCCAGGAGAGCTAAAGTTTTTCGAGAAACACCTCCATGGTCTACACAGTAATTCCTGGTAAATGGAAGGCTTGACTTCAGCAGTTTATTGATTAGAGGTATCAGACGACCCAAAGATGGATGCTTAGCTTATGTTATACAGGGTTTACACAGTGTTCCTACACTTAACAAAACGTTTTGCATTCTCCTGTCGTTGTTGTCCATTTGATAAGAAATAATGTGTTTTAAAATTGAGAAAATTAAGCTGTCTTCAGTGAGGGTCATTGATATGTGCAGGAAAACCCTGAATACAGTAAAAATGTACTTTGCCAGCTTACTATTCTAGGCAGCACATTTCAGACTTGTCTATATTAACCTGGACACTGATACTTAGGTTAGTACTGTAATGAGGGCAAGGGAACAAGGTCACCCTGGTAAAAGAGATTTAATTTCAACAGGAATTCCTCTTAAAATGAAAGCTAAAAACAAACAAACACATAAATAACTATCCATCTCTCCACTCAGTAACAGAACAGAGTCAGGGTCTATCATTCAAGGTAATCAAGCACAAAACTTCTAACACTTCTCTGTGCTTACTATGAAGGTATTTTTGAGTGTTATCTAAATTAAATTCAATTTCATTGGTTAACACCTGAATGTAACTGTAATAACTTTAATCTATTTGCTGGCTTTTCCCAAAGAGAAGTTTTTAAACAGCTTTTTTTCTCCCTGGAAATCAGACTCTTACCAAGATTACAATGCTTTTGCTGAATTCTCCTCAAAGTCTGAGTGTCTGAGTGGAATGCCTCTCTTACAAAACCTAAAGCCTTTTTAAGATATTCTATTGCATAGTGTGAGACAAACTGCATGTCACAGACAGTAAGGGTGTAAACAATTCTCCTAAACCACAATTTGGTTAATTACACAGTTTTCTTTAAAGGGAATGAATAACAAGAGAAAAGGCAGATTTGTGTTAACCACAGATCACTTAAACATTACTGTCAACAGAATCATCATTAATCAGCTGAACAGCATCTTTAAACTTTCATCAGACTACGCTTTAACCAGTCACCTTATTTCACTGATTGTGAAACAGGGTACATTCAACTCACTAGTAAGGCTGACTAACTGCACACGTCGCAGTTCCAGCTGGGTGGTAAGCTGCTGTTTCTCCAGAGTCTCCTCCCGGATGCGCTGGCTCTGCTCAGCCACAGAGGCCTCGAGCTGTTGTCTCTCATGCTCTACAGCAGCCAGGTGTGACTTATGGCGATCTACCTCAGCCTTACCGGCAAATGGTAATAGAAAAAAGAGAAAAGGTGGCATTAGGACAGGGGTGGGCAACTCCAGGCCTTGAGGGCCGGTGTCCCTGCAGGTTTTAGATGTGTCCTTGAACCAACACAGCTGATTTAAATGGCTAAATTAGCTCCTCAACATGTCCTGAAGTTCTCCAGAGGCCTGGTAACAAACTAATCATGTGATTCAGGTGTGTTGACCCAAAGTGAGATCTAAAACCTGCAGGACACTGGCCCTCGGGGCCTGGAATTGCCCACCCCTGCATTAGGACATGTCAACAGGAAAAAAGAAAGGGAAAAATGTGTTTTGACCTAATACTTGCTTCTGACCCTTAGCTGCTGCATCTCCAGCTTGTGCTGGTTGAGCTGGTTGCTGAGGAGGCTGTTCTCCTGTTGAAGATCATCGATGGTGCAGCTTTGTTGGACTGTCATCTGGATGCTGCTCTCGATCTGGAACTTTAGAAGATCTATCGTCTTCTCTCTGTCACTCAGCTTCAGCTTCAATGTCTCTTGTTCTATCTGCAGGGTCTGGCACTGACTCTGAGCCTCTTTTAACCTGTTAAGATGCTAAAAAAATATTTAAGCCTGAATTCACTGAAAATGGTGATCTCTCCCCCCCCAAAAAATTTTATAAAAAACATTAAAAATATTCTCTCTAAAGAAAAAAAAGCACCTGACACAAACACATTTTCTTAAGTGTATTACTTGATGAGTTTCTTGTTGCTTTAAGTGGAATTCTTTGTCTTTCTCCCACAGGAGTTCCTGGGATTTCCTTCCCTCGTGGTCCCTCTGCTCCAGCAGGGCCTCTAGGCGGGTTTTCTCCTCCCCAGCTTGGTGAAGCTGCTCCTTAGTCACCTTCAGCTGCCCTCGAAGGACCTTTAATCCCTCCTGGAGCTCACACTGCTGCTGGTCACAGCACCTCTGGATAAAGCAGGAAGCACAGTGAGTTGCCTGCACTGGAATGGGCAAAAATTATAATCGTTTGGAATTTTACACATTAAGGCAACCCTCTCTGAACGTTGAGAACTGCTCCTTACATAGTAAGATTGTGAGTATAGTAAATCATGAGGCCAAAATTAACAGCAACCTTGTTGAATCCACATGGGCTAAATAGCCAACTGGAAATGACAACTACTGAGTCCAATTAGCTTTTGTGTCTTTAGATGGCATGTGGGAAAAAACTTTATTCGTTACACAACACTAATGCCAAGCGGGAGATAGCAGTTGCCCAGTGTATGACCAGTGTAATTCCTAAATAGCTTGTTTGGGTGACTGAAAAATCACCAGAGTTGTATAAAAAACACTGTATTTCCTTTCCTCAGCCTTTGGCAACACATTTTATTTATCAAATAACAGGAAAATACACAGACTTCTTTTAACTGAGGTAACACAGGCTCATTACCTCAATGATCATGCTTCCATCCTTAGCTAATGCCCAAAGGCTAACTTTAAGACAGAAAAAAACCCAGGCCTCTTGGATAGTGTTGTTGCTTTGTAATTTGCATGCCCAGTTACATTGTTTTTTACATATTGCCTCACAGCAACAATGAACTCCAGCCTTCTAGTGTTGGCATTACAGAAAGACCTGATCAGTAAGGATGTTCAAACTTCAGTTGCTATAAAGGAAATTGTTGCCCTATTGTATAGATGGCGGTGCAGTACATAAGAACAGTATGAAAATATCAGTTATTACAAGAGGGGTGGTACAGGCTCAGTTTATACTGCCTTAGTAACCTTAAAACCCATCCATTTATAAAAAGCCTCCTCCTGGTTTTGCTAATTGTCTTTGACCACTCCCACCTACATCTAAAGAAGTTTCACAAGCAGATTAAATAAATTACATAATTTTACCTAAACTTGACACAAAGTTTAATCCGGCATAACCACTGTACTTTAATACACCGACATAACAGTTTATGCACAGAAGCAAAACTGTGGTACCACACCTTATGTTGTTTAAGCTGAGAATGAAGTTCCATTGCCTGTTGCAATGATTTGTCTTTTTCTTGCTGAGCACTCAAGAGCTGCGTCTGAGCCTCACTTAGCTGCTGCTCCAGACCACAAACCTACAACATGACAAAACACATTCACAAACCACATAAAAAAGATGCACATACTGGCCATTTACTGGTGCTGCTTCTCCACATCCAAGCAGCACAGTTCAGAGAAGCGAATTTATACCTGCCTGACTTAATAACTTCATCTTTTCAACATCATCTTTACCTTATCTTTAAGGCTGGAAAAGGTTGACTCCAATTCTCTGGCCTGATACTCGTGCAGTGAGGGCGGTCTCACGGTGAGTTTTCTGGGTATACAAATCATGAGTGAATACTTCTCATATTGTCTGACAGGTTTACAGTAATACAGAAACCAGCAGGGAGTTATCACTGCAAACTATCTGATGAATAATAAAAAGAAGACATTTTTTCACAGCCACTTACTTGAGCAATTCCACTTTGGCACATAAGTTGAAGCTGTTGTCTTTCGATGAGCTCAGTATATCAGTCAACATCGCCATCTCCTGGCCAAGAGTTGAAATGAGGTGTTCCAGTCTAAGTTGACACATTTTGCACAGGGTTTATTTACACGGTTAAGGTAGGGCACAGCAACTTTTTAAGTTTACTTTGTTTCTTTGATGTAAATTTGCTGCTTTACTTTGTACTTCGTGTGAGTGAATGGAAAATCTTTAGCTTTTGTACAACAGGTTTGACAAACCCAGCTCTAAGAATCTGTGATGGGCAGTTGTTGACATTCAGTAAATGACAGAATTCACTGATTAGTTAGGAAAATGATATACCTTTCTTGTTCAATTGCTCCACTGTATTCCTTGTTCCCCATCTGTTCTTCTGACTGATATGAAACAGAAAGAAAAAAATCATGAGAGTCATATTTTTTTGCAAAATACACCCATTATTGTACTCTACTGAATGCTATCACTTACCAAAAAAGGCCTCCCCTGTAGCTTGTCATTGAGATCCACATTTGCTTTATTAGGAATAAATTGCTGCGTTTTGCGATTCTCATGTTTAGTGCTGATAACTGAGTGCTCAGATTGTTTCCCATCCAATGTATGATACACCTCCTTTATGGTCTGCTCCAATGTTTCAACTTTCCTATTAAGCGCGACCGCCTCATTCTCCATCTCCTGCAGCTTCTTGTCCCTCGACCTTTTGAGTTTCTGAAGCTCTTCCAACAAGCACAGCATCTTTTCCATCTGATCAACGTGTTTCCTCGAATCCTTTAATCTATAAATCAAAAGATTTGTGGGTCAAAGTGATTCAGGCATTTTATTTTATATATGTAGAACTGTATCTGTGTTTTCACCTCAGGTCAGACAGGGCATCATTCTCCATCTGGACTTTATGCAGCTCAGTTTTCAGGTTTGTGATGGCTTTCTGAGGACAGCATGTTTCTTGTTCAGCTTGATTAACTGTCTGTGTTTGGGGAGATGAAACATAAAAGATACATAATGCAGAGAGTGCACTACCCTCCTCTGCTATTAACATCACACATGACCAAACTATTACATAAGATTTCATGGCTGCAATAAAATATGAACCTTGTTGAGCTGCAAGTCTGACAGCTGCTGAAGGCAGTCATCCATTGCATTTTCTAACACCTGCTTTCCAGGAGAGCTGATGTCCCTTTGGGCTACTTCCTGGTTTAAAATATCCAGACCAAAGACCAAAGGCTGAGTCACTGCCTGCTGGTGGGTTGGAAGAAAGGAGGAATCTCCAGGAGAGTCATCTGCCAAAACAGCAACAGATGTTTAAAACACTCAGAGCGTACACTGTCACTGTTAAGCTAGGGTGTTTGTTTATGTTGAATTCTTTCCCTTCATATCTGTGTATGCATGCTAGTTATTTGGATTTAAACATTTTCTGAGACCCAAATAGCTTAGAAGAATTTGAGCTTCAGTACTTCTGTGCCTTTAGTTTTCAGCCATTTTATTCTACTCTGGATTTTGTAAAACAATAATAAATAAGCCATTAGATAACACATTCCCCCCCCCATCTTTCAAGTTAGAGCGGCATAAACAAGATGTGTGGAAACACTTGTACTTACAGATATGAGGTTTAATATCATGGCAGCTTTGTCCAGGTGACCTACAGCTGCCGCCAAATCTCTCCAGAACCACCTTAGTTGCATTTTCCACCTCTTCTTGTAGTCTCTGGGTTTCTTTGGTGCGGCGATCAAGCTCATCACTGTCAATACATAGAAGCTCAGGCTTAGACTAACTCATACAGTGAATTCAGTTCAGATTTGTTTACTAATGGTACCCACTGCAGCACAGCCTGATTTATTTTCTTTGATCAAAACAGAATGTTTTAAGCCTAATCGTTAAAGCTGTGAGGAAGACTGCCATGCATCAAAACCAGGACCTGGCTCCACAGGAGAGGATAGCTGAAGGCTCTGCCTCCCACTTTACTTAAAGCACAGTAAACCACAAGTAAGCCTGACAGGGCTGTCTTACAATGAAGTGCTCTGTTAGGATAATATGGTACTATGAGGTCTCTAAGATATTCAATTTTGGCTTCAACAGGGAGCCAACACGGGACAAATGCGATCTCTCTTTCCAGTCCCTGTTAATACTCTTGCTGCTGTGACTTGGATGACGATTTGATGATTTGGATGCTTTTTCAGGGAGCTTTTAGAACAGCCGGATTAATAGGAATTATAACAGTCCATCCAAGAGTGGCACATGCGTGATCTACCTTTCAGTTCACTGTGAGACAGGACATTTATAATCTTGACAATACAGTGCAATAGAGTGAAAGAAGCAAGTCTAAGTTCTTTTTTTAAATGTTTATCTTTCATTGGGTCTGTCCTTTAGCATCTTTGGGACAAAAAACGTAGTGCGCGTCATTTTTTCAGTGCAAAAGCTGTTAAGTTATGGTGAGGAACCTTACCTCAGCTCCTCCAGTGTCACACTGTTGAATCTCAACGGAAGAGGGCCATCATGGGGATCTGTAAAGTAAATAGGAACCGTCCAAGTTACTGAAACAAAGTTTAGCATACTAACAGGCAATACTTTGCTTATTTAGCTTACCAGCGGTTCCAGTTCCTGCCGCTGTTGCTGTTCTATCTTTCGCTGTGTAATGGTATCGTAAAACGTTAGTGCCACTATTGATGGAAAGCCTATAGCTCTGGGGCTCAGAGGGCTGGGACCCCGTGGAAGACATCTCATTTTTTATGTCAAGTGATTGATTAAGACATTTACAAGAACCTGCAAATGACAACTGCTAACAAGTTGCTAGAGCGCGCAGTTTCATCACCATGGAAACAGCATCGGTGGTAGTGACGTGTCATGCGCAAAAGCATCGGCTCTAATTGGAAGAGCCAACTCCCATCATATTTGCCAAATAAAGATAAAATATGAGGCTACAGATGGTAATATATTAAGAGCAATTGGGAGCCAAAAGAGCCAGCTCTTCTTTGGGAGCCGTGCCACAAGAGCCATCACTAATCCGTAGCTAATTTGGCCGACGTAGTTGAGCGGTCTTTGAGTGTAACCGTTAAAATATAATGACAGACTTGTATGTGAAAGTCAGAACCGATGAACTGCAAGTTTATCAGTTAAGTGACCGTAAACACGAGGCAAAACATAAGTACTGCCGACGACTGTCACCGCCAACAGGCGCCTTTTTGTGCCACTTTGTGACGCCAACAGGCAAGACGTTGCGTTTCTAGAGATGCATGACGGTTAAAGTAGTTTTCCCCAGCAGGTCCGGAGCTGCTTGTTTATTACGGGCGGCGGGGAGGGGGTCGTCGCTCTTCGACGGTGATCGAGGTCTTATTTTATTATTTCTCGTCAATCATCCCAATCAAAATGGAAACATGGAGGAATGAAATCTGAATTGAAGTCACGGAGCTGTTACTATCCTGCACGCCTTCCGCTCCTGGGCAAGGTAAAACGACTGCTTGATTAGCGCTAGCTAAGTTAGCTTACGCTGGAGTACTTTGTGTGGGTGACGCCCCCCGAATGCTTTTTGGGTTTTTTTTGGCAATTATTGATGTTTTTGTTTTTCAAAACACAATTTCTAAAACCCAAAAGAAGGAAATAGCCTAGTTCTATTAACTCAGCCCCGTCTGTAATATGAAATCATCTCCCTGTTTGGATTAGCCCGGTGACCTAGTTTCAGGTCAGTGGTCATTTAGCTCAAATATCTACATCTACTGCGATTTGGTGGTGGTTTAGTAGTTGTGCTTCGGCATATTTTATGCATTCACTTAATAAATCACTTATAATATTGTAACGATCGTCAGGTTATATACCAGATTATTTATTTATTTATTTATTTTTTCGTAGGGATACCGGACAGCCTGTAGGTGTGGTTTAGGAGGCAACAGTTACAGTCAACATAGGGTTACTCTGACAATCTCTTGGATTTTAATGGAAAATAATAAACAAATATTACACTGTGTTGTTTTCCAGATGAGGGATCTTCAGGACGTTGACAGTTTGCTCTTGAAAGAGTTGAAGTCATGCTGTGCGACAGAGTACAACTTTCTTCCCAGGGAGACTGGCCTGAAGTTGATGGAGTCTGCCTCCACAGAGGTAGCCCACTGACCTGCTTTTGTTTTTGTGGAGTGTTTTTTTTTAAGCTGTGTTTGCAGGCATATGTGTTTGCTAAAATGACTGCTATTTTCAGTGATGCCTTTCTAATATATAGTGGTACATTTGTAGAATCACAGCGGAGTATCTGCAAAATGCAGAGACACCAGAGTGGAAGAACTGTGGAGCCTGACCAGCTTCTTTGGCTACTGCACCCAAACTTTTGTTCAAGCTGTCAATTTACTTGATAGATTTCTCACCATTATGAAAGTAAGAATTCCAAGTTTAATGCCAAGACTGCAACTGTGCATGTTTAATGTCCTTTAGACTCCTTTGACTTTGATTCATTGGATTTTGGCTCATTTCTGTTGATGATAGGTGCAGCCTAAGCATTTGCCCTGTATTGGAGTTTGCTGTCTTCACATTGCTGCCAAAATGGTTGAGGAGGAAAGCAATGTCTCACCCACTCATGAGCTTATTCGCATCAGCCAAAGCAAGTTCACCGTGTCAGACCTGTGTCGTATGGAGAAGATCATCTCAGAGAAGCTCAGTGTGGAGCCCAAAGCAGTGACAGCCTTAACCTTTCTACACCTCTACTACTCCGCCTTCACATCCCTGTCTGCTGGAAGGTAAATATTTTTTTGTATTTACTTTTTCTTGTTGCTAATGCTGCTCCAGACTGATTGGAGCTGGTCAAATAGTTACTGCTGACTGAGGCTTGTACTAGCAGATCACATTAGGATTCCCTCTATATTTTAAGGGAGGAGATCCCAAGCATTGGGAGACTGGAAGCCCAGCTAAAAGCCTGCTTATGCCGGCTTGTTTTCTCTAAAGCAAAAGTAAGCAAGGTGACACTTTTACAGCATAGCAGCATTAGTTTGGAGTATCAGGACTAATTAATCTGTTCTTCTTCACAGCCATCCGTGCTGGCGCTGGCCCTTATTGCTCAGGAATTTGAAGCCCCCCAGTCAGTCATGTTGTTGAAGACTGTCCAGCAGTTCCAAAGACATGTAAAGGTATGAAGAGAATAGGGTGCGGCAGCTAAATCCTCTCTCAAACAGTCAGTATTATTCCATCATAATGTATTAGTAACAAGGGTATTATCAGGGTATTATCATATTAGTTTTTAGTTTTTATAGTGTACTTTTTACAAGAAAAATTTTGTTTGATGATATTTTAGCTCATCGAGCTGAAGGTTTAATGTACTTATGAGTCAGGAGTCAGTCATCCATCCATGCATTTGTTCACAATTAACAAGAATTGCGACTCCTGCTACAATATTGGTCATTATTTAATCAGGATTGCACATAATTATCACATAATGCATCTTCACCCAACTTTTGCCCAAGGTCAAGGTCACATTTTTAATTCTTTTCTTTCTTTCTTTTTCTTTCAATGGGCAGCAACTCGGGAATTGTGATGGAGCCAGATGAGCTTCCACATCCCTGATGTTGTGGTTTTTAATGTTTTGGCAGTTTCACTGTAGTCTTATCATAGCTGTGAAATGAGAATTTAAGATAAGATAAGATAAGATAACCTTTATTAGTCCCACACGTGGGAAATTTGTTTTGTCACAGCAGGAAGTGGACAGTGCAAAAGTTATGAGGCAAAAATTAGAATTTGAAGCTATTTATATTTAGACTTTTTCTTCCAACTCGTTTGGCACCAACTTTTCTGTCTCCAGCCAAAAACATGTTGTCTTTGTTTCACCTATCCCTGTGTTTGGAGGAGCTGTCTCACCCCACTCAACATGAAAGTCCAAACAGAAACGGTGCGACCAGACATGACTGCAAAACAAGTCTAATTTTTATTAAAACTGAAAAATTTACAAGCAGCAAAGTCTCTCCCTTAGAAAGACATGGTGACCACTAATATGCTTTTAAAACTCTTAAAAATCCAGTCTAACCTAAAAGTCTAACCTATAAACAAAAGTCAAGAGTAAATGTTACTCCCCCAGATGAAGCACCTGTATCTGGTGTGTAAACGTAGCCTGTTATATTTTTAAAGATAATTGTGTTCAGAAAACTTGTTTGCAGTTTGGCCGGTGTAATCCCGCGGAGACTGTAAAATGTGTAAAATTACTTATTGTTGCCTGGCCAAATGCATGTAGAGTGCATGGGAAAACTGTTAAAAAATATATATTTTAAGGCCATTCCTGTTTGTAACCTCTCAGATGTTTCCTGTTTTTCTTCTTCTCTTCAGATCAGTGACAGTGAGCTACTCCACTGGAAGGAACATGTGGCCAAGTGCATGGTGGAGTACCGCTCGAGTGAATGCAACAAACCAGACAACAAAAAGCTTGTTTGGATCGTGTCAAGGAGGACGGCTCAGAATCTCCAAACTAGTCACTTCAGTGTGCCCGGTCTGCCAACTATTCCCGAGAGAAGCTGGGATGAAAGCGAGAGGTTAATAGTTAATCTTTTCTACTTTCTTTGTGTTATAATGATTTCTCGGGTGTGCTGGGCTCCTTGGAAAACTAAATGGGATAATTATGGTAAAATCAGGTCAGAATATTTTCCACAGCTCATGTGTAGCACACAGCAAATGTATTCACATTAATGGAATGCAGTGGTTTAGAAGAGGTAACTACAGGAAACAGCACAGTCGATAGCAATGAACGCTTAGGAGTTTTAGCCGATCTCTTCTCATATCAGTGCAATCTAACATCGCACGGACTTTATACTAGGATACAGTTTATGTTAGACTGCTATGTTTATCCTTTGATCCTCTGTCCTTCATATTGACTCTCTCTAGTGTACATAATTTGACACACAATTCTCACAATAAAACATGCCCTAAAAAAGAGATGTGTGCTCTATGGATGCAACTGTATTAAAAAGTGATGATAAGCTGGATCAGCAGGTGAAAAAATAGATTCGCCTTTTATTTTTCCACCTAGCCTCCATACATGCTTATTGTATTTACTTTGTAAGAGGATCTGTAAAGCTGCATTCAGATAACACAAATTTGTCCTTCACATATTAGTACTAACATGCATACTTGGTGTGTGTGTGTTTTGTTTTGTTTTTTCAAGATCCAGCAGGTTAGAGCCTGCAGAACCGCTGTTCTACAAATGGCTTAAGAAAAGTCAAAATGTCATTTTTCAAGTTCTAATTTTACAGCAGAATTGTAAAAATGATTGGTTAAATATGTGCTGAAGAAGAATTATTCTCAATTAACTTTCAATTAGGTTATGGTTAGCATTAATAGAATTCTGGACTCATTATTCCCTTAGTTAATTTCACTACTAAACCAAAACCAGAAACATTAAAAGAGTGAGGCGTGGCTCTTGGAGAGCAAAGATGGTGGTAGAAATGTAGAAACTTCCAGAGGAAAATAAAAACAAAGACTAACTTTACTCTGTGAGTTAGGACTCTGCATTTTGAACCTGAATTCTAAGGGTTTTGGCAACCGCTGTATCAAATATGTTTTCTCTTTTATTCCTTTTTGAATGTTTTTTGCTCACATTAGCAGGGAAGCTACATCTACAAACTGTAGACAGAAACACACACCCAAAAATCTTATTATTAGTAGAAGGTCACCTACAAATATGATAAAACATCAGTCCCAGAAAGTTAATTCTGTTCATTTGGACGTAATGTTTTCTGACGCCGTGTCCAGATGAACAGATTCAACTTTCTGGGATTGCTTTATCTGACTGGCTGAGCATGCATCAAAATGTAGAACATTACTCACTAAAATTGAATAGTGAAGACTCCACTTCACTGAGTCACATTAACCAAAGTGAGGCAGAGCGATTGGTAAAGCTGCTTATGATGGGACACTGTCCTATTGTGTGAGGCAGCCACACCCTTAATTCCACCATCAGCTTCACGCAGCCACGAGAGGCACTTCAGTTTTTCTGCTGCGGAAGTTGCTGCTTGTTTAAAACCTTATTTTAGGT